CCGTGCTCTCCCCTATGCTGCGCGTAACCTTGAGAGTCGTTCAAGCGACGGCCATCTTGCCGAGATGCACTTTTGTTTTTCACTTGTCCAAGACTCGCCGGTCTCGCTGCTCTCTCTCTCTCTCTCTCTCCCTCTCTCTCTCTCTCTCTCTCTCTCTCTCTCTCTCTCTCTCTTTCGAGCGCTCGGCTCGCTCTCTTTCGATCCTCCTCGCCGCTCCACTGCTCGCCTCCTCGTCCCTCTTCCGGCCGATCCAGCGCGCGTCTCGCTCGCCATTCTTTCTGCCTCGCACACTTCTGCCCCCGCCCGCCCCGTCGCGCCGCTCATCGCTCGCTCGACTCCTCTTCCAGCGTGCTCGAACATCGCGGCGAGCTGCGCTGGTGTTCTCCATCCGTTCGTCCTACATGCCTCCTACCACAGATTGCCGAGAGAATGCAACCAACCTTCCACAGCTTCTCGCCCTCGTCTCCTCTTCCTCTCGTTCCCGTATCCTCCTTCTTCTTCGTCGTCGTCGTCGTCTCCTCTCGCAGCGCCGCTGCCCGAGCGCGCTTACCGCTTATTTATACCCTAACGACGACGCTGGTTCGCGAAAATTCTCGCGCGGCGAACGACGAAGAGGCGAAACGGGGGCCCCGGGCTCCGGTTTTCCGACGGGAAATCGCGTCGACCGACCGCCTTTTTAGACGGCCGCCACCGTCGAGCAGCCCCGCGCTGCTCCAGTGGCCCAATTTTCAAGGTAGGTCAGTCACGTGGGCCGCGCTACCAACAAGAATCACACGCGTCCGTCCCACCTGGCGACCAACGGCCGCCGCTTTCGATCGGGACACGACGCGCGACTCGCCTCGCTGCGACGGAAACGGGGCACAGCTTAGGCGAATTTTTGCCACGAGAAAGCACTCGCCGGGCGGCCGCAATCGAAACTTGTCGGATGTCGATGTGGCACTTGGTCCGACACGAAGATGAGTGCCGTTCGGACGACGTTTTCATGTGAAATTTCATTCGGACGGAATTTTGTTCGAAGCGTCTGTTCGGATTTTTGGGTAACAAGGAGTTACATTCTGTTGGTTCTGTAGTAGGAATGATAGGAATGAATTAGTCTTCTTTCTATTCTCTGTCATTTGACAGAATAAAACTGTGGCACTTGGTCCGATATGGAGACGTGTGCCGTTCGGGCGACGTTTTCATGTGAAATTTCATTCGGACGGAATTTTGTTCGAAGCGTCTGTTCGGATTTTTGGGTAACAAGGAGTTACATTTTATTGGTTCCGTAATAGGAATGATAGGAATGAATTAGTCTTCTTTCGATTCTCTGTCATTTGACAGAATAAAACTGTGGCACTTGGTCCGATTTGGAGACGTGTGCCGTTCGAGCCACGTTTTGGAGTGAAATTTCATTCGGACGGAATTTTGTTCGAAGCGTCTGTTCGGATTTTTGGGTAACAAGGAGTTACATTTTATTGGTTCCGTAATAGGAATGATAGGAATGAATTAGTCTTCTTTCGATTCTCTGTCATTTGACACTATAAAATTGATCTCGTTTTAGAATAATATCGTTTTTTTGCGGTGTAATGTCAAATATGGCATATAGTAAACTCTCTCTAATTATATACAAAAATGCACATTTTGGGAAGCGGAGATACGATTATTCGAGCTTCGCGACTCGCATGGATCCTTTATATATCTTTATAAACTTTTTCACAGTTAGGCCAGGCGATCCAAATCGTTTTGCGACGTCAAAGCGATTAGTTTACAAAATTATGGCTGAAACGTTGTTTCCAAAAATTGCAATTGATTGAAAGGATAAATAAATTAAAAATTGATGTGTGGTCAACTCTTTTATCCGAGCCTGTAACGATGATTTCATCGAAAACTATTAACGTGTCAACCGACCAAAATATCAGTTTTTCGCGCGAAACATCATTTTTCAATTTTTCTCCCATCCCAACGGTTTCGGAGGCCGCACGGACACTTTTTACAGCAACTGTAGCGATTGCTCGTGATGGATGTAATAGTTCGAGAGCGTGCCTGCAAGCCTGTCGGAACTGCGCTTCGATATCTTGAGCGGACGATTTTTGATTATACAGTAGATGCTCCCTAATTGACGCTCAGATTGTGCACAAAAATGGACAATTCGGGAAGAGGAGATACGACTATTCGAGCCTCGCGACTCGTTCTTATAGTTGTTGACGATTGACAACTAGAAAAGCGAGCCGCGGGACTCGAATAATCGTATCTCCTCCTCCCAAGTTGTCCATTTTCGTTCCCAAGCCGAGGGACAATACGAGAGAAATTACTATAACTGCAACCAGAAATCCTGTTGCATTCATTAAAATATGTTATTGTACTTAGAAACTGAAGTTGGATGTTATTGAACGTCAAGAAGTCCCTAGCTGAAAGTTACTAGACAAGCTAGGGGGTGGGGTGGATTTCTAAAAAGTCATTAATGCCGGCAATTTTGTCAAAATCTTCTTTAAATAATTCAATTATACGTTGATATCTTTTTTGTGCAACTACGAATTTTCTCATAAGTGAAATATGTATATATATAAACAACGCAAAATATCGAACAAAATATGCGCAACAGTTTTCGCGTTAGTTACTGTGCCTTTGAAAAGATGAAAAGTTAATTCCCGTGTGTCGATTACCGAGCCTTACCTGCTCACTGTTTGCAATCTATACTAACAGTTTATCATAGCAGTTTATTTTGTTTCGGAAAGCATCGCTCCCGTATTTTTTGTTCGCCTTTATTTGCAACGTGTTTCGTCACGATCGAGGCAAAAGCACATCGGATCTTACGTCAGAGATTCAAAATATGAGTCTTCGCATTTCACAGGTCTTGAGATCAAAATCGATTGAAAAATTCCGATGTATTGGATCGAATCCTGTTCATTTCAAACGTAAGTAAAATTACTGTGAGGGCACAGTAACCAGTGGGAGCACAGTAACTGACTCGCTTACTCTATTAGCATAAAAACTGACAATTGTTCAGTGCTTTTACAGCGACGAAACGCACCTAGATGAAAAGCTAGTGTTCGTGGAACTGGTCAAATTTTCGACAATTCGCCCAATTCTCGCGGAATCCACGAGCGCGATGTTCGCGGCGTGAAATTACGAAATCCGGCGAGAAGTATCCTTGACCTTGGAACCTCTTGAATAGAGGGACCTTGGGGGAACGATTCGATCGTCGAAACGAAATTGCTCGAAACGAATGGCTCGAGTCGGGTCACCGTGCACGCACACGCACACATACACACACCTGTCCTCATAATTAATTTAACGCGTTACCGGCCGGAGGTCACGACGTCGCCGAGCGTGGTCAGTGATTTTTTTTCACGGAAACGTCAGCGCGGTGCGTTTACCTCGCGTCCAGGGGAATTATATTCAGCGCGGCGCAAGTCGCCGGCTGGCATCCGCGATATTCAGCCAGCTTCGGTAGCTCTCTCTCGGGCTATTGAGTCACTCGCTATAAATTAATAAAGGCTTCGCTTGTTTTGACGGTGAGCCGCGATGGTTATTGACCAGCAAAGCAATGAACTCGGCCGCCGACGGTGTGTCGCGCGCGCGTTTTCTGAACTCCGCCGTTTCTCTTTCGGACTGACTCATTTTCGTGAACGCGATCCGAGAACCGGGGAACGCGCGGCCGACGCGACGGCGTGCGTCAAACGATGCATTATCGAGGCGACGATATTTACTTTGGCAGCATTGTACTCTCTCTCTCTCTCGCCTTTGCCCGATCCGTTAAAATAACCTTGCGACTGGTCCAACGGTGCAAGCAACAAGCGACACCTCCGGTCGACGATTTAGTCGTTGGTTCGTTACCCTGTTCATCAAAATACGTGTATTTCACTCGCGAGTGTCCTCCGGTCACGTTTCGCTCGTGAAAACGCGTATTAGATTTCAATGGGACTGCCGACGATCGACGCTACTTTCACCGGTCAAGAGGCTTTGTTTTTTTTTCTTTTTTAATTAACAAGCTATTTAAGAGAAGACGCGGCATTTTACGCGTTTTTATACATTTTCATATTTTATGAGCGGAATATTGATTACCCGGCGCACTTTATAAATACGGAATTGAATTTTGCGACTCGTTACACTCTTGACAGTCTTTTAACATTAGATTCACGGATTAGATTGATAAAATTTAAATATTAGGAAAAGATTTACAAATTAGACTTATAAAAGTAACATTAAGACATTTATTCTGATTTCTAACAGAAACAGTAACATTTGCCGTAAGTAACATATAAATTGAATAAATAAGTCATAAATATATCTCTACGATACGAATAATCGTAAATTAAAAAATTAGTGACCCGTCGTTTCGACGGGTTCCCTAAATCTAGTGTCAACGACATCTTATAGTCGCCACTCGAGTGTAAAGCGTTAACTTAATTTTTATCAAAATAAGATACATTAAATTTCTCTTATTCTCCCGTTTCGATTATTTGTTTAATAGAAAAGTTCGATACGTCTTACTCGATAAATATAAATCGCATTAAAACAAATCAAGCGATTGGTCCCCCCACCCGCCAGTAACCGGTGCCACTAGCCTAGTTACGCGGCACAGAAACTGCGTTGGGTTCTCGCGGAAGATCGCGGGTATTGATAAAGTTAATCGATTCGGTGTAACACCGGAGTTGTTTACTGTGCCGCGTGTAATTCTGTACCACAACATTGTACCGAAATGACGGCAAAAACGAGGCTGATAGCATATGTGACCCCTGATGGCGGGCGGCCGAGGATCGAGGAGGTTCTTCGCGTGTCCACGGTTCCCATGCATCCATCGGCCCGCGGCGCGCGGCAGTTTCACTGGCGCGCGCAGTCCGGACGAAAAAGAAAGTGGGGTTCGGTTGGACACGAGGAGTCGGATCGGGTCGCGTCGGGTCGGCTCGCGGCGAGTCGAGTCGAGTCGAGTCGAGTCGCGTCGTATCGCGTCGAGTCGTGTCGAGTCGAGTCGAGTCGGGTTGCGCGGCGGCGGTCGGGTGTTTTCGCATCGGGAGCCGAGGAGGTCCGAAATTCGTGGTTGTCGCGGCTGTTGTCTGCTCGGGGCAGTGGCTCGCCGGTGGCGCCGCGGTCGAGGACGACGGCTGCTCGGGGAATCACGCGGCCGGCGCATAAGCGGCGTCGAGCGCCGCAGTCGCGCTCTTGCACTCTCAGCGGTGAGCGGAGTCCGTAACCGTGCGTAATCGCCTTCGAAAACGTCTTTTGGTCTGTTTCGTTCGCCCGTTTTGCCTGCCGCTGCGATTAGTCGGCCTCGGTGGCTCTCGTCATCGATTCCTTGCGGTCGTGTCGGTCGGACAGACGACGCGGAGCTGGATAACAGCCGGAGGTGTTCGAGGTTCGGATATACACACACACGTACACACAAATACACGCGCACACTCGCCACACACACAGAGAACACACGCATACACGGTCGAACTGAAAAACGAACCAAATCGTAATCGTGCATCCACGGTGTCTGTCTATCGTCGCCGAGGGGAAACAGAGTGGGAGAGAGTGAGCGAGCGAGAGAGAGAGAGAGAGAGAGCGTGCGCGTGTGAGAGCGAGAGAGAGTGAGTGCGGTTAGCGTGCGAGAGAGAGAGAGAGAGAGAGAGAGAGCGAGAGAGATTCGACTGGCGACGTGGGGAACGAGGATCGACGAAAACGACGGAGACCAACGACGACGGGTCGCCCCGTGGTTTCGCGAGGCGAGGCCGGCCGAACGAGCGAACCGGTGCCAGAGGATTTTCGTGATCGTTCCTCTCCTACATCGTTTCGCGTGGTGCATGCCCCGGAGAGATAGACGACCCCGGGGATCAAGCACACAGTTGCCGAGGGATTTCATTGAACAGCAGTGACGTGCGGGTACACGTGTTATACCTTGTGCAAGTGTTTTCGAACGGGCCACCAGCCTAGAAAGGACCAACGTGTCGGACCACGCCGGCCCACCAGGATTTCACGGTGTCTACCTCGTCGTTATGTGAGTACCTTTCGTTTTCTTCGAACTTCGCCGATCCCTTTCGTTGGCGACGCGTTGCCTACGACGGGCCAATTCCAAACCGCGCCGGTACCTTTCCTCTCGCAGCGGGCATCTTGCCCAGTGTGTGCGGTGATTATTCGGTGGCGGGAAAATTTTTTTGGAAAACTTCGCGTTGATCGTGTTTCCAATTTTCTCGCATTATTATTATTATTATGATTCCATCTTGGCTCGAGTTCTCGTCGTTCTCGCGGTCTTTCAAGAAACTCGCCCCGCTCGGAGGTAAAACGACCGACGATAAGCTCGCTGATCTCTCGATTCGCTGCCGTCGGTTTTTCTAACCGGTTCCGTTTCACTGACCCGTGAATCGGTCTTTTCGCATCGGATTAATTAAAATTAATGCTGTATCACGAGCGTCGGCTGTGGCCGTTTTCGACGGTAACGATGACAGCGTGCAAAAAAAGAAGCGTTCGAGAAGTGTCGCTCCTGCTTAGCTCTCTTTGTTTCCCCCCGTGTTTCTCGCGGTTTTTTGACCGAGCGCGCGGTCTTTTTCCCGCGGCACCGAAGCGGCGCGACGGTTTATGGGACACCGAGTTTTGTTTACATCTGTCCTCTCTCGGGGCGAAGTGTGAGGTAGGTTCGTGAACGAATGTGCGCGCCGAGGTCGCATCGGGGACCGGAGTAGGTCGGCCTCGTCGCCGGTCTGGCTTTTTCAAGGAAAAAGACCGTTTCTACTGCGACCGTCGACGGTCCGAATTACTTACACGGCGCCGTGCAAGTTAACGTAACCTGCGCGCAATGTTTATTCCACGCGGTGCACGCGACAATTGCGAATCGGTATCGCATCGCGAGAAAAGAGTTGCCAGTTAACCGTAAACGGATTTTTATTACGCGCAAGTGTACGCGAATATATCGCGGATCGGCGAGTAACCTTCGCAGAATTTATGTTTCGCGTTGATATACGAAAATCGCCAGCCAGCGAATAAGTTGCACCGCGAAAGAGTTGCAAGTCGACGCAATCTCGATGGCGTTTTTATATTTCACACGAATTTAACCAGCTAATAAGCAGCTTGAACTATTAGTAATTCGTAGTTTAGTAATTTAATTTAATTTGATTATTAGTAATTCGTAGTTTTTATTAATTTAATTTAATTTGATTATTAGTAATTCGTAGTTTTTTTTATTAATTTAATTTAATTTGATTATCAGTAATTCGTAGTTTATTAATTTAATTTAATTTAATTATCAGTAATTCGGCGAAGCAATATAAAGCGATACGTAATGGCGCTTTGCGCGTCGAACGCCGATATCGTGATTCTTTTTTTTCGATCTTATTTTTATAACAATGTAAACACCTTCGTGCAAGGATTGGCCTAGAAATATTCCAAATATCTTGAAATTTGAGAATACGTTTTTGTATCCATTCAAATTACAATTTGGATTACAATTTGTAATTTGTTCGTTTCGCACACGACGAGTATACTCGTCGTGACACAAAATACTGCCACTTCTCCATGGCGAGTAGTGACATAAAATACTACCGCTTCTCCACGACGAGTATACTCGCCGAACACAGCTAACTGGTTAAATCGCGCGTCTGCGAGATTTTTTACAGTTTCAACTTAAATGGGATTATTCATATAATTATCCACATTTCTATTTATATATTATTTTGTTCTATCCTGGCCTGGCCTCGAAATATTCTAAACATCTTGAAATTTCATATGTTTTTGCTTTCACTAAAATCACAATTTAAATAGCCAATGGTCGCTACTTTTCGCACACGACGAGTATACTCGTCATGACGCAAAATACTGCCACTATTCCACGACGAGTATACACGTCATGACGCAAAATACTGCCACTATTCCACGACGAGGCGAGTAGTGACATAAAATACTACCGCTTCTCCACGACGAGTATACTCGCCGAACACAGCTAACTGGTTAAATCGCGCGTCTGCGAGATTTTTTACAGTTTCAACTTAAATGGGATTATTCATATAATTATCCACATTTCTATTTATATATTATTTTGTTCTATCCTGGCCTGGCCTCGAAATATTCTAAACATCTTGAAATTTCATATGTTTTTGCTTTCACTAAAATCACAATTTAAATAGCCAATGGTCGCTACTTTTCGCACACGACGAGTATACTCGTCATGACGCAAAATACTGCCACTATTCCACGACGAGTATACACGTCATGACGCAAAATACTGCCACTATTCCACGACGAGTATATACGTCATGACTCAAAATGCTGTCACTAATTCACGACGAGTGTACACGTCATGGCGCTAAATACTGCCAGTTCTCCATGACGAGTATACTCGTCGAACACAGCTAATCGGTGAAAAAAGATTCGAAACGCGCGAATATCGATCTTTACGTAAGCCAATGTGTGCATATATCGTTCGCAAACTCGTCTATTTCAGCGTTCGTAGGCGCTGCAACCTTGTTGCACCACCGGCGATCGATCATTGTTCGATCGTGCCAGATTTCGAACGAGCGATTTCGAAACGTACGCCCGTCGGAAGTTCGCCGCTGGGTCTAGGTCCTGGTCCTTTTTTCGCGAGAAATTCAAGATGGCGGTGAACGTGATTGTTAGCACAGTGTTTCTCTCGGTCCCGATTCACCGATAGCGGGACGCTGTTTCTATTCCGCTCGGAGTGGACGCGTGATTAATTAATGTGACAGTTCGATAACATCTATCCAGAATGCAACCGAGTGCAAGCATAATTAATCATCTTGTTCCCGTGTTTTAAATCGATCCTCCCGATCTTTTAATGTGTTTAGAGGATTTATCGGCCGAGGTTACAGCCGTGTTTACATAACGGAGAATTTTCTGGTAACTTTTTCCAAACGCAATTAGTCCACCGTAAACCTTCTCTGTTGGTAGTCGGCTTGGACGTTACCAATTACTGTGCGTTCCTTCTCTCTCTCTCTCTCTCTCCTTTTACGCAGCGGTTATTGTTTACTTTCTATTCTCGACTTTCTTCATTTTTACGTCACTCTCGACACCGTTCGACCGCGAACAGAACTCGAATATAAACAGCGCCCGTTTCTAAAACTAAAAATCCCTAGGCCGACGCGCGCTTTCTGTCACACCGTCGTCGCTTGTTTCAACGGCGGAGTCGACTTCCCGGTGTCCGCGAAGACAGTGTCAACGTACAATTCCCGCCAAAACCTAGGCCAACGTAAAGCGCGACGTACAGCGACGTGCCACGGTATTCGTGGGCCCCGGGTCACCTGTGAAACGATTTCTAATTTTGCTTTTCCTGTTTTCTTTTTCTTTCGTTATCATTTTCCATGGATTTCGAACGGTCCGTGCGGCGGTCTGAAATATTTCGCAACCGGCGGCGTTGCTAAGATGTCGCCGCGGGCGATATCTAGGGACTTCACGACCCCGTTTCTTTGTCCCGGTGGGCGCGGATTTCGTTTGTTTTGCTCCGAATCCGAGGCGATCTTTTTCGCGATCGGCTGGAGCTGGGGTGGCCAAAGCGACGACTTACTATCGAGTAACTTTCTTAATCGCCTGCTTGTCTGATATTATATATATTATTATATATTATATTATATATTATTATATATTATATACATTATATATTATATATTATATATTATTATGTATATATATTATTAAACTTATTTTTGGCTTTAAATTATTACTTTTCTCATGATCACTTACGACTACCATACGATATTGGTAGATCGCCACCTATAACTTAAAAAAAACAGGTCGCCCGCTTGTCTGATATTATATATATTATTATATATTATATACATTATATTATATTATATATTATTATATATATATTATTAAACTTATTTTTGGTTTTAAATTACTACTTTTCTCATGATCATTTAACACATACGATATTGGTAGATCGCCACCTATAATTAAAAAAAAACAGGTCGCCCGCTTGTCTGATATTATATATTATATTATTATTATTATATTATTATATATATTGTTATCATATATATTATATTATTATTATTATATTATTATATATATTGTTATATTATATATTATATTATTATTATTATATTATCATATATATTATATTATTATTATTATATTATTATATATATTGTTATATTATATATAATATTATACATTATTATATATTATTATATATACTATTAAACTTATTTTTGACTTTAAATTACTACTTTTCTCATGATCACTTAACAAACACGCTATTGGTAGACCGCCCCCTATAATCTTTAAAAAATCAGATGGCCCGTAGCGATGAAAAATTTGTCAACCCCTGGGCCAGAGGTAGAGGCAGGAACGAGCCGCGCGACGAGTCGTCGCGGCAGAAGTGTCCGTCGGGACGAGAGTCCGTTCCGATTACAAATTCAAATTTAACGACTGGCCGCCGCTTGGAAATTTAAATCTTCGGATATCGCTGCTGATTGAAACGAATCCGGCCGGGCTCTCCGGATTGGAAACGGTTGTGTTCAACGTCTGCCGGTCGGATATGCCCTCCATAATGCCGCGCAGCCGGTTCGCCGTTTCTTAGGCGACTTTTTTGTTTTTGTTTTCCTAATTACGCATCCCTCGGTGCCGTCCAAGATCCGATGGAAAAACGGTGATCCTCTTAGGATCAAGCGACAAACATTATCTCGATTTTCATTAAGACGTCCGAATCTCGCGTCGCATCTGGAATTGATAGTTAATAATCGTAGATCAGCCCCGGCGGAGTTTTTCCAGTACGAAGAAACGCCGTAGCTAAGCCGGCCGTCGGAATAATTATCCTAGTAATTATTGTCCTTGACTATGGATGGCTTGATTAACTTTTTCTCCCGGGGATCGTTAATCGTCGGTGTCTTGCATAGATCGTGGGTAAGAAACGCATCGATAAGTGACGGAGTCGGCCGGACACGGTGGATCAGCTTTCTTTCCGCCGTTTTTTTACATTTCTGACGAGCGTGTAAACCGATGCAACCACGTTCGTAGAATCCCCGGATCTACCTACCGGGGGGATTACGA